CCCTGCCCGCTCTGCCCTCCCAGCCCAACGGGAAGGAGGCAGAGGAGCCACAGAAGCAGCACGTGAGAATCCCAGGCCTGAATTTAAATATTGCCATCCTCAAATTGAGCTTGGGTGGTGGAAAACTTGCTTAAAGCTCTGCCACGGTTGTTCTGCACAGCCTGAAACCACGACCTCAGTGGTGCTCTTGCTGTCTGTGCTCGTGGGATAGGGCTCACCGTGGTGCTCCATCAGGGCTGGGTGGCTGTGCCATGACACGGACGAAATTTCCATTCAGATGGAAAGGGCTTTAGCACCTGCTCTGTGCCTGCAGGCAGCAGACAAAGGGTGAAAAAATCCCAGCAGGGTGACACGGGACACCCGCCGAGCTCCGGTGTCCTGCCCGGTGTCACCCAGGCTTGTTAGGGTTGGGCACAGCACTCCAAGAAATGGCCCACGTTACGGCCCCACAAGCAGCATAACGTGTCCGTAAGAAGCCATATGGCAAATTTCCACTTTGTAATCTTCCCGCAGAGGGGAAGGGGAGGAAGGACTGAGCTGGACAAGGCAGTGCCGTGGGCACAGGAGGAGCACGGCCAGCCGGGGGCCAGCACGGAGCCACAGGCAGCCCACGGGTGGTGGCTGCGGTCCCCAAGAGGGGGCTCCTGTGCTGCTTTCCCCACCGATGAGGCAGAAACAATTCACTGGCATCGGCCACATCAATCGTGCTGACAAGCCTGATCCCCCCCCTGCCATCAACCACCCACTGAGGCACCCCAGAACAGCAAGAAAGAGGGCTCAGGGCAGGACCCCGGCTAGTTCCCAAAATCCAGGGCCAGAACACCCCAGGGGACACAGGGCCCCAACGCCACCGCTTCCCCACGCGGCTGCGTCTGTGAAGGTGCAAAACTGGGCTCCACAACACTCAGTGTGCCCCAGGAAAATGCTCCTGGAGAGGCAGGTGACACCTCCATGCTCAGTAGCTTCTCTGCCAGGTGCCTCCAGTGTCCCCAAGCCACCCCCGGGCAGCGGTGCTGTCCCCACCACCCACCAGGACATGGGAGCCAAAATGCCCAAGCTCCCCTCATGCAGCCCCGGTGGTTTCCCAGGCCTGATGTCAGCCTTGGAGGAAGAGGGAGATGAAAACGAAAAGCAAATGAGGAAAAAATGGTGGTTTTTTTTGTTGTTTGTGAACAGTTGGCAGCCAGCTTATACTCCCTGTGCTTAAAACCCCGTCCCTAATTCAGAGGAATTTCACACAGCTCAGGAGAGGGGGAGAGGCCGGGAGGTGCTCCTGGACACATCCCTGCAGCCCCAGGGTGCCCCCAGCTCCCAGCGCTGGGCAGGGAGGTGCAGGTGGAGCTGCTGCTCAGCTGCCTGGCCCGAGATGCAGCTTTGCCTCCAAGCGTTCAAGCCCGATATTGCACCGGGATGCAGCCAGAGCTGCTCCTCCTGCGGAACCGTGCTGCTGAGCTGTGTCCGTGGGCACTGTGAGCAGGGTGGGGGACGTGCGTGCACCCCTGGGTGTGTGCAGGCTGCTCCTTTTAGAGAGCAGCAACCTGCACGAGGGGTTTCATGGTGCTTTGTACCTGTTGGTAGTACCTGGACTCCTGAGAGGTGTATTTATACCTCCATCTAGGTGTCTCTCTCTTGCTTCCCATACCCTTATTAAATCACAAGTCCGTAAACTTCTGGAGCACGTTTCTAAATTAGAACAGAACGCCCCGAGGTGGAAGGGAGCCCATAGAGCACGGAGCCCAACTGCTGGCTCTGCACAGCACCACCCCAAAATCAGACCCACAGGACAGCTGATGAGGGATGCTCGTGGCCACAGCTCTGGGACAAGGCGTGGAAAGACCTCAGCGGGCTCCCAGCACACAGGTGAGACAAGGGGAAACCTCCGGTGAGGTCCCAAAACGCAGCCTCAAAGCCCTGCTCGCTGCCAGCTCCAGGCTGGGACAGAGCCAAAAAGCCCAAAGGGAGGGGTGGGAGGCTGCTGGGAGCCATGGGGAGGCATCACTCTGAGTTAATGGCCCTTTGTGTTTGAAAATTAAATCAGGAGAGCTCCTTTATATGCCACAGGGCTGAGAGTAAGCTGAACGCAAGCAGGATTTAGAGCAAGGAGAGCTTTCCAGATGAACAGAGTGCAATTCTGTCATAAGAACCAAAATAATGATAAAAATAACTAGCAAGGGAGAAAGGGAGCCGTGAGCACAGCATACAAATGTCAAACTCCAGCTCCTCTGAGCAGAGCCATAATAAAAGGGTTTAACCTATTACATCGATTAGCAGAATTACACCTCTTCACTGAGAACAAACCCAATCCCACAGACGGGCTAATTTCATGAACACGCTGCCTTCGGAGCCTTCAAACAGGCCAATGGCTTTTAATGTGAGGGCTGAGACTAAAATAGGTGGCTGCAAGGGGAGCAGAGGGAGTCACAGGCAGTGATGGCAGCTCTGGGGATGGAGGGACATGGCCATGGTGCTGCCCCTGTCCCCAGCACCCCAGGGAATCACAGCCAAGGGGCTCTGCCCGCGCTGGGGGTGACCTTCAGGCAGGGGAGTGATGCAGGTCCGGCTGGGACAGCCCCTCAGCTCCTGCCTTCCTTGTGGTTCTCCAAGCTGGAAAAGCCCCCAAGGTCCCAGACGCCCCCCGCTGCGCTGCTGTGGGCAGACACCAGCAGGAGGCACCCAGGGTGCCCAGAAAAACATCCTGGCGGGCAGCAAGCACACCCTGCTCCCTGCTGCCCCCCCTTTTCCCTACCTGCTCAACCCCAGCCTCTTCTCCCTCGGTGGCTGCCAGTGCTGCCCAGCTTTTTCTGGAGCAGCAGCGCCTTCCCCTCCCAAGTCCTCAGTGCTCCAAGCACCAAGGAGTAAATTGTGTTTTGCAGTGAGCATGTTGCCCCCCCGCTGCACCCCCAGGTGGCTCCCGGGGGGCTCCGTGCTCAGCTGCCCCCCCAGGACACACGGTGGGGCTCCTGCTGTGCCTGGAGCTGTGCAGCAGGGCCACCGCTCCTCCTGGGGCTCTTCACGGCCCTCAGCAGGAAAGCTCCATAAAGGGCTTCCCAAGAGCTCCTTACTAGTGTGAATTAATAGCTTATAACCCATCAATTAAGCAACTGGAAAGTTCTTTGCCCCAGCAGTGCCTGATGTAGCCCTCCTTCCCTCCTCTTATTTAACACTGCACTGGAAGTTATCACACAAACGGCTGCACCTTACGGTATTCCCAGAAAGAGTGCCTGCTGGAGACGAGGCCAGGAAAGGCACAAAGAAAAGCCCTCTATACATCTAAAAAGGCAAAGATCCAATGAGACTGAAGCCTAATTTTATTCCCAAAAAGCAGTGTTGGGCTGAGCAATGGATTCTCGTTGCTCCTGGGAGGGAACAGTGCCATCTGCTGTGCCGACACGAGCGCTCTCCGGCCCTGGGGCAGGACAAGCGCTGAGGTTTGCAGACAGCTGCTGGAAGCAGAGCCCTCGCAGCCACTCTCTGGTGCAGCTTCTGCAAGGGTTCTTTGTGCTGCTCACCCTGTTCTGAAGGGAGGAAGCAGATCCTTGGTGTGCTCAACTCCTGAGCCTTGAAGCAGCCACGATGCAGCAATTTTTTCCCCAACTCCCCTAACCCAAACACACAGCATAAAAAGCCCTGGTTTCTCTACCTGCATAGCAGAGGTAATAGCCATCCCGCTGCAGAAGGTCGAGAGCATCATAAGGGCAAAGCTGTGAGGAGGTCCACCAGCCTGGACTACATTTGTGCCCTACTTTAAATACAGCAGTATCCAAGACACAGGCAACAGTTTGAACTTCTCTGTTGGAAAAAAAAAAAAAAAAAAAAAAAAAGAAGAAAAAAAAACACAAGCAGGATTAACCAAAATCTGAAAATATCCAGATCCCAGTTTTCTGCTTGCCTCCTTTAACAATTAACAGCATGGAAAATAGGAAAATACCGATGCAGCTGCAAACTGAGGTGCCCAAGGAGGGCAAGTTAATTGAGCGGTTTGTTGTCAGGAGACAGACTGCCTCTCCTGGGAAGGGAGAAACTCTGGGCACTGGGTGCAAAGCTGCAGAAAGCCTGCTCACCACCGAGAGCTGCTGCCTCCTGTGCTGCATCTCAGTGTTCTTTACAGCTACGTTTTGCCCACAGAATGAGCCTAAGCAAGGCAGAAAAGTTTCACTCTAAGAATTTTTGCTATTCCCTGATATGATGCACAATATCAAGGAATCCAGTGATATCAAAGCAGAGACAGAGTGATCAATCCTCATACATGCTAATAAAACGTAGGATTAAGAAACCACCCTATCATTTCTCAAAAAAAAAAAAAAAAAAAGTTAAAAGAAACAAGATTGTCCCAGCCATCTGGCTAAATGTAAACAGGAATCTTGATGCTCTTTATTGCATTTTCTTGCTGTGCAAACCAGGCTCTTCCTTGAGTTGAAGCAATTGGCTAAATGAACAGGAAAGAAAACACGACCCAGGAAACAGCTGGGTTGCCAGGTGGTGCCTCTGTCACTCACAGGTTCTGAGCTTCTGCATCAGCAACCTTAAAAGCATTAAGTGCTAGGGGACTGCTTTTTCCTCTCCCAGCTAAACCTGAACATTTCTGCTAAGACACTTCACTGCACTTGAGATTGTCAGTCATAACTCCTATACAATACCAGAGCTTTAAAACGCATTTTGTTTGCACACTGTACAATGGGAGTTATTTCTATGACAAAAAAATACAAAGCCAAGGCTCTCAGCCATCCTTAAACCTGTTGATTCCAGTATTAACCCAGCTTTCATTTCTCTTTAGTGTGGACTTTGACACTGTGCCCCAGAAGATTATTAGAGTAAGAGCTCTGAGTCCTCTGGCAATTTTGCTCAGCTAAAACTCTAGTTTTATACAACTAAGCTACAGTTATACAACCAACATTCAACTAACTTTAAAGAGTAGATGTCACTCGTGCAGGAAGAGGCCAAATGGCACTTACATAATGGACTCGGATAACTTCAACATCATAAGGAACTGATGGCAGTAGTCACAGATGAAAATTAATCAAGATATTTAATACAGTGCAATCCATAGTAGTTTCTTAATTAAAATAATTGTGTGCATGTATCTGAATGGGTTATTATCACAGAAAAAGCAATAAACATCATAGTGCTATGTAGAAAAATGTACAACTGAAATTTAAATCTTCCCAACTTCCAAGATGCATTTGTCAACTGCAAATCATTATCACCAATTAAAATGGGAATAGTGACTACGCTGCTGCGGTGACAAACACAAGGCTAGCCACACATCAGTAAAGGGATATAAACATAACTTGCAAAGAACTAAAAACCTAAAGCAATCCTGCACCTAAACACAATAAGAAGCCGATGGTGGCTTACGACTTTTCCTTTTTAAAATGCCTTACAAGACTTCTAAACACACTTAAACTGACTTAAAATTACAGAGTGTTTTTCAGCTTATGTCAATTTAATATGGCCCAAACTTTTGAAGATGAAGATCCAGCAGTGGCATTAGCACAGTCCAAAAGCCGAATGTTTGATTTTGCAAATACCTTTTTACAGAAATTCAACCGTACAAACCGCAGGCAATTCCTCCTGCTCCTCCTTCTTTCCTCCGTGCAGACCTCACTATGCAGAAAACAGCAATGCAGTTCCCACTGCTTCAGGTTAAAATTAAAAGTAAAGACATTTTGCTTATGCTTTCTCCTCAACACAACATATTTGCACCCAGAATAGGTAATCAAAGTCTTTTTCCAGCCATTTACTGCTGTGGTTACTGCTCGCCTGCCCCTGCCCAAGCTACCAGCTGTTTCATGTCTTCATCCTCTTCTTCCTCTCTCTTCTTGGCTGCAAAATATTAAAAGAAAACCAGTAAGTTAAGAAAGGAAATCTTGACAGAACCCTACAGCGTTCCCATTTGTTGGGGGAGAGAAGACCTAACCAATAAATGAAGCACCAAATGCCAGGTGAGGGGAAAAAAAAAATTACACAAGACTTTTTCAATTGAAGGTACCTTCTGAAAAGCTACTGTGGGCTAAATATTCTGATGTTGCCCCTTTAATATGAAAAAAACATAGGAAGAATGCAAACATACATGAAGGTCAGGATGAGTACACCAGTGGCATCTACTGTTTTCCATAATCACCACGCCACAAAGGAGCAGACCCTGAGCCCTCAGTTTCTGAGCCCCTCCCAGAAGGATTTAGTTTCGTACAGAAACCTATCTCCTATCTCCAGTATCACACAGTCTCCCAAACAAAAACAAATTCCCTTACTCCATCTGTAAGTCCTCAAAGCCCAATAAAACAGAGGTACTGTGTTTTGGTCTAGCTGAGATTGGAACTGAGAGACTTCCAACTCTTGTGTCAGAAGAGTCCAACTCTTGGGCTGAAGCTACCTAGCACTAGCTCTGTGCTACTCCCCTCCTCATGCCATGAGCACCAGGACTCGGTTTCGTGCAGCTACTAGGAAGCATGATGCTATCATGTCTGGTCCTTTCAAGGGACCAAACCATGCTGTTTGTTACGATGTTACATGATAAATCTGGTTTCTGCAATTAAAACAATCCACTTAGCAAAATATTTTAACCAAGAAAGAGCTGCAGTAACTTTGGAAAACACCCAAAAAAGGGATTTCCTTTTTTCAAAAAAGGTGTTTCAGCTTCAAAATCACTCTGCTTCAAAAGGGAAAAAAAAAAAAGTGTCAAATAATTAATACTTAGAATGGCTTACATAAAGGTTTCATTAAGATGATGCAAGAGGGAACTGAGTCAGCTTTAAGTCAAACTCAAAACCCATTCCTTGTAAAGATTTGGAATTTGTTTTTCTAAATTAAGATCTTCCGGTCTCCACTAAACAAAAACAGCTTCTGCCTGGATTGTTTCAGACACCCATTTAGTTGGCAGACAACAACAACAAAACTCGAATTCAGACTGATTAAGTCAAAATCCAGACAGCTCCTGAAAACTGGAAAAGCAGGAAAGCTCACAATTGTTTTCCATCCACTGAAAAGAAGGAAAGAGTCACCTCTGCTGCAGAAGACACACTAAGCATGCCCCTGAGCTGGTAGGAAAAGCAGTCCCTTTGGAAGTCTGGGCCATGGAGACCAAAAATACTTTTGACCCCAGTCTGTATTAAGTCAATTTTAAGTGAAAAACAATGAATGAAAACAAAAGCACACAAAATGAAACAAACAACAACAGGAAAAAATCCACCCAGCACCATCCCCAGAATCCCAGGTTTTCCAAAATGCTGGACTCGAAGGCAGCTTTAAGTAAGAGGGGACTAGTATGTCATTCAGAGTAGTGGGATTCAAATTTCCATGAAAAATCAGCTTAACCAATCCTGTAAGACACTGTTGCACACTCAGTTTTTTTCTATGAAAAACATTCATAATTTTTATGATTTATTATTTTAAGTGGTATGCCTACATAAGTGTCACGTTATGCTGTATAGCTGCTGCAACATGTACAATTATAATGCCCCTGACTAGTCAGCAGTCATTACTAGCTAATATAATGCAGAAGGTCTATTTAGTCGGTATGTTTTAATGTCCATATCCAACCAACACTAAGAAAACAAACCTCATCAAAACAGCTATGAAATAAAAAGGTAATGCCCACATTTATTTAAACGTTTCCTGCTGCTGTTGGATCTGAATTTGGATTGTCTCAGGCTCCAGATAGTTTGATGGAATTCACTCCTTTCTCATCAACACTTACCAACGATTCTGCCTAGCAAAACAGAACCAGGAAAAAAGTGCAAAATCGATTACACTGAAACAAAACAGAGCACGCAAGGAGCAATCTTGATAGCATGCCATCTGAAGCAGACCTTGTTGTTTGGTATTGTCTGCTGCTTCCCAAGTCTTTAATTAGCCTGGAAAGCAGCAAGATAATTTTACAGGTACACTGACAACTAGTTGGGAGTATTTTTTTTTGTCCTCCGTCTTTTTGGACCTTTTTTCCCCTCCTAAGCAAGCACACAAAATAAGCCGTAGTCTCTGCAGCTCTACTTGTAATGCCTTATGGCAGATTTAACAAACTGGGTAGTAAAGCTTCACATTCCATTAATACATGTCAAAGGTTTTCCCACTCAACTTTAAGTCACGAGGTATCACTTCTAGTTCACAGAAAAATGATTAGGTCAGATTTAACAGCAGCTTTGAACTGTGTAAATACTAACACTTCTTGACCACTCTTCACATTACATCACCACACCCATTTTTGCTAGGTATACATGTTCTAAAACTGTCATGACCACAAGTCTGGTACGGTCTGGCTTGAATACGTGCAAATGTCAGACAGAGGAGGCAACCACGGACTCCAAATAGGAGACTGAGGATATACAAGTGAGTTCCTCCCAAAAGCCAGAAAAATGGGAATAACATTTAAAAAATAAACAGCAGCAAGGAAGCATGCTTCAGTGTGGATATCTGAACCAGCCTGGGACTAATTCTAAGAGCTAATTTGCTTTCAATTCCTTTCCTTTTATATCCACGGTCTGTTTGTCAATATTACTTCCCTGCTGGATCAGCAGTGACTGGTAGAAGGTTCCCCCTGGCTTCCTTCTTCCACAACTTGACTCTACCCTGAGCATCATCTAGGCTGTGGATAAACTGGAAGTGCTAGAACAGGTAACAACTGTTCTTGTGATAGTTATTAATTCCCATAGTTACTGTGAAAGGCAGGTTAGCTCCTTGAAGGAACGTCACCAGATGTGATTTTGAACTCATGAAGCTGTTTCAAGCAAGGTGTCTGTGCTGCCTGTAGCTCAGATTCTTAAATCAGAGGAGCTAGAATTTAAGTGAGTGTGCGTTACAAAAACCCAGGATGTTTCTGGTCCATAAATACCTGGCTTTGATGGTATTGCTATTGAGGGCACGTTTGGTAGTGGTACTGTCTCGGGACCACTTATTTCCAGCAAGTTTTTGTCTAGTTCTTCTTGTTCTAGTTCCTCTAGTTCCGCCATAAGTTCATCCTAGTTTTATAAAGGAGAGAAAAGAAAAAGAAATTTTTAGATCATATTTATTATCAAGCAGATTTAGCTGGTCACGTTATCGCAGAAAAGAGCTTAATTGCACAGGATCAGAGCAGGAGAGAGATAAGGAATCTGAATCTTTGTCTGAATTCCTGTATTGTTCTCTTGTAGACTGAAGATGGTGGGGAAAGCAGTGAAAAAAGAAGATAGTGCAAGCCTAAATGTTATCAGATCGAGTCATCCAGACCATTCTCAGCATAAAATCAGGTACACAACTGCTGTATGTACTGGTAGAAACAGCAAGTAACACATTCCAGGAGAGATTTTATATCCCAGTACTATAACTAGATACACGCAGCATGCAGATATTAAACGATTTCACTTAAACAGAGGAAAATTCAAAGCATACCTCATCAAAATCTTCCCCAAATCCTACTGGCTTTGAGATGGCTGTTGAAATCTCATCTGCCAGCTCTTGCTGTTCTGCAATGTCTTGCATTAACTCATCTACTTTATCAATATCCCTGTAAAACAAAAGGAAAGAGTAGGCAAATCAGGCACTTTCCCAATCAGCACTTATGACCGTATTTCCTGTTTTCTATAATAATGCCACACCATGGTGACATTTCACAAGGTTCTTTCTCAAAAAATATTTTGCATGCAAGTCTAAGTTCTATCTTCCTACACCTCACACCCTGATCTCAAAACAAAACTATTTTTTTTTTTCTACTTTTCCCAAGAAGCTTAGCTCACAGCAATTATATACAGAGACCTTGTACAAAGAGGTTTTGGGTTGTATTATGACATTAATAATAATTTGCTCTGTTCCCTAATCCAGCATTATTATATTACATCTAAAATATCTGCTTTTGGAACAAGTACAACATTCCCATAATGTAGTTTACCTTTAATTACTGCTACATACACAAACTCCAAAGAAACTGCTACAAATGCAAATTGCAAAGAAAGAAGTTTAACTCTCCCCCCTTGAGACTTAAAATTCTTGCTGTTGTGAGGTGGATCTGCAGTGGTACACCCCCCCCATTTGCTTTAAACACTGATGCTAGCCTTCTGTTGGACAAAGTACATTTGCCATTATTTGCTTGGCATCATATGACATGATACCAAACTGAGAAAGTGTTGGTCAACACACAAATATACCTAATATTTTAGTTTTATTTAAGTTACAGCCTTTTAAAAAGATTTTGCTACACTCACTGTACCGTTCTTTAGGAAAAACTTGGTATTTAGCAGCTCAAGCAAACACCAAACTAAAGATTGCTACAGGCAGAAAAAGAGGGGAGTAACTTACATGTTGTCGTGAGCAGCTTTCATGGCTTTAGCAGCAAGCCCCATGTTCTTAAGCACTTCCGTGTTCGTGTTGGCATTTTCAAGGGCTTCCCTCTGAAATTCAATTGTGGATAATGTGCCATCAATCTGTGCAAGCTGCTTCTCATACCTTTTCTTACGCTTCAGGGCCTGAAGAGCAGCTGATCAACAGAAGGGAAAAAAAAAGTAGGATTTGTGAGATTTGTGCCCCAGACAGCCCCTCACCTTCTGTAAAAAAAATAGTATGAGGTACAGAGCAATGTCTAACATCTTCTATTCTTTGTTTTATATTTACCTCCTTCAAAAACATTGCTCAATTGTGGCCGAACGTGAGCTGCCCATCCATCCCCTGCCTCCAGAAGGACACGAGCCAAGCAGTGACTCGAGGGCTCAGCATGGCCCCGTCAGCCGTAACAGACCACAAGGCAGAAGCCACGTTAGAGCAAACAGCAGGCTTCACCCTGCGAGCTGCTCTGCTTGGGAACACCTCTGCTCGCTCAGCCAAGCGGCACAGCACAGCTGCTGGCACAGCATCACACGAGGTTATGCTGCTGCTGCCCCTGCCGGCCAGCTGAACTCCTGTGAGCTGCAGGGAGAAGCAGCGTGTTTGGACGTAGAGAGAAGTAGTCCCAAATAAATAAACTGTGTGTGGACTGGTCCAGCTCCTCCTGCAGCACTCAGCTCCTCCCAGGCAGGGCAGGCACCCTGGCAGGCAGCAGCAGCCTGGTGCACGCTTGATCCGAGGGCACGGTGACAAGGAGTCAGATTTACACGTGGCCTCACCTGGACATGGTTAAAAGTTTAGTAGGGGTTGTGCGGAGGCAAAACCTACCGAGCACTGTTGCTGATGGACCAAGTACAACACAACGAGAGACAACAACTTCCCTCCGAGGCACTGCTGCTCCCCTGAGAGCAGATTTCTTGCTCACGGTGTCATGGACTTGGTTATACAATACACATCCACCCACTTTAAAAACGCAGCTTGGACACACACCGCTGTTGTGACAGCCTTCCTCTCCGTTTCTTAACTTACAACACTATTTCAAACCTTTGCCTGTCCCTGTTACAATTCCCTAGCAGATATTTTGGAGAGGTGGGGGACTAAAGAGGAAGAAATCCTGGCAGCTTCCCTTATCTCCTCTACTAGAGCCACGATAACTTTGTGACACGCTGAGTAAATTCCTGCACCAGAAGCAAAATAGCTTGTTTCCTCAGAGCAGATTAAGCCAGCAGACACCTCTTGTATTGTCAGATGCCATCTTGAGAAGCTTGACAGCCCTTCAAGATAACACCCTAGCACCCAGCAGCTGTACATAGACCCCCAGCTCTGCAACTGGCTACGAATACGCTCGTTTTGATCCTTTTCAAATTACCCCAGCATCCTGGAGGAATAAAGAAGTCCTTTGGGCAGCTGCAGCTTCGGCTGCCAAGCACACTTGGAGAGTACCACAGGCTGCCTTCGCAGACATGATCACAAGGACAAACGAACATCACCTCAGTTGTTCCAGCACAGGCCATTTCGGTGGCTGCCACCCCAACAATCAGCAAATCCCCCCCCAACGAGTGTTGGTGGCAGCAGCTGCAGTTTCCATGTGGCAGGAGCAGGGCATGAAGGGGTCTCCGTGTAACACGAAGGCGTTTTTTGGGACACGACACAGACTCACCTGGAACGTCCCAGCTTTGTGCCAGGCACAAAGCACAGAGCAGCGCGTTACTGGCACTTTCAGTCTGGTTCATGCTGCACTAATTGCTTAATTAAAGATATACAGAGTTATCTTAGGAAGATAAAACTGTTAATAGGCTGTGCTTATACACTGACAGATGCCAGGAAAGCGTCAGATAGCAAAAGAACAATTTTTTAGTGAAGCCTTTGTGCATTAAGGAGAATTATAGGCAAAACCAGGGGGTTTATAACCATTACACAAACCCAAGCACTGTGATTTACGTACAGTTCCCCCCCTGTAGCTTTCCCTGAGAATAGCCACGGTTTCTCTACACTTCCTGCTTACGTACTAAGCGAGCCCTGAGACACCAAACACCACGAGCATCATGGTGACAGAGCACGTGGTTGGGGTGTATCAGGGGTTGTGCAATCCTACCCCTCCCTCCGTCCCCAGCACGCCAGCTCAGCGAACCAGAACTGCGCTGCCCGGCCTTCGCTGCCTTCCTTCCGTCTGTCCTTCCTTTCCCGTCTGTCCTTCCTTTCCCATGTTAGCAGGGGAGAAAGTAAGAGAGATCAAGGCTCCTGCTTTTGCAGAAACAAGCTACGTACTCCTTCAACACGCAGGGCCAAGCCCATGGGTCTGGGCTGCAGCCCCACCACCACCAGGCTCGGCGTGCCCCCACTGCTCGCCCCCAGCACCAAGCCCAGCCGGGGCCACGAGGTTTCTGCGCCCCCCCCTGCAGCGAGGACCCCTGAGGATCCACCCTCCCCTGGCCTGGATGCTCACCCAGACCTACTGGAAGATGAAGCTGTAGAAATCCCTCCATGCTGCAGCCAGCAGATTAGAGGGTCACAACTCCCCACAATTTATTTTCATCCACGTTCCCTTGCTTAACTATCCCCACGTATTGTGTTTATAAGTAGAAGATTTTATTAAGCTGAAAAAAAAAAAACAAAACACCAAGTTCAGTTCGGTCACCCACATCACTTTCACCCTCCAACTCCGGGCAGTTTGAGTCCCACACACAGCCCAGCAGCGAGAGGACACGTGCCTCTGGGGTCTCCTTTCTGCAAGCAGTGCTGACCCCGTGCTCCCCACGTCCCTGTCCACAGCTCAGCCTGGACCACAGGCAGACCCCGCAGGCCACTAACTGATCATTTCTGCCATCTAACAACAAGCAGTATCAATACAAATGCATCTACTTTCAAGTGAAATACTTAAAAGCGTGTGGTTTTTTTTCCAACCTTGTTACAATTAAGTTGGTTTTCCACCTCCCTCCTAGGACTGACTTCTTAATTTTCAGGTGTCTCTGGGGCTATAAATTGTCCACGTTGCTGTTAACTTCACAGAGCAGTGGTATCAGATGGAAGCGTACAGCTCAGGGGATGATTCTGGTTAGATCTATAACTACTTTATCTCCGCTCTCCTATTTAAGTGTCGATTTCGGAGGACTGATGAGCAGCTCTGCTGCTTTTATCCCGCAGAACAGCCCTCACCACCTGCACAAATACCTTGCGCTACCAGAACTACACATTTTTATTACATTTTCAATGAAGTCAAAGCTATAAATACTTCCTCTGAAAGGAACTGCATTAAATCTTTCTCCGCAACATCCATTTTCAGAACCTGAAATACATCCGAAGACAAGCCAGTTGGCTTCAGAACGCCCTGCAGCACGACGGCGTCTCACACAGATGCAAGGCACGGACGTGCCTTTGCAGTCGAGATGTAACACAGCCCAGCTCTGCTCTTCACGAAGAGGCAGCCATGAAAGAGGAGACCTCAGGACCTGCACCTCTAATTATGCCTTTACTATTTCCAAGACAGCAATTAAATCGGCAGGCAACGCAATTCAATACCCACCTGTAATTGCTGCGGAACTGCCTCAGCAGGACCTGCAACCAGCTATTAAACCCAAACCATTTATTCCCTGACCCTGCCTGACGTGCCTCGCTTGCGACCCAGAACCTGTTGCTAGCACCCTGGCAGCAGGTTTCTCTAGAAGGAGCTCGTCACACGCAGAAAATGTAGATCATTTCCTTACCCTGGAATAAAAAGCTGTATGAGACTGCAAAATCACCAAACCAGCATCCCAGAGCAGCTTCTGTGAAGCGCCTGAGATTCAGACACTCCAAGCAAACAGGATTAATGCTTTTCTCATTGGGACTTCCACCAAACTGTGGGCGATGCGTTTCTTACGAGAGAATCTGCGTTTGTGCAGGACGAAGCACAGACAGGCTGTGATCCCAACCCATCAGCAGTGAGTTATCCAGCAGTGGGTCTGCGCTGGATCATGCGGTGTGGCTGGGATGCAGAAGGCAGGCCCGTGATGCCAGGCCCTGCACTGAGCCCTCACCAGCTCCTCGGCACAGGACACGCAGTGAAGGACAGCAGGCACGGGAAAAGGAAACACGGTGTCTGCTCAGAAAGCAGCGAGCGGGCTGTAGCATCACCCTGACAGCCTTCCCTCATCACGTTCCACATAAGTTGTTAGGTAACGCCAGGTATTTCTCCTCCCAAAAAGCAGGAAGGCTTCAGATTGGGGTTAACTTGCTCTTGAATTAGCCTATTTCTATATAAAAACAGCAGCACCACTTCAAAGCACTGGCTGCTTTAGGAGGGGATCTTTTGGCTTGCCTTTTTTCCCCCCCTCTCCTTTCTTTTTAGGTCAAGTCTCTCGCAGGAATCACAAAAGGACAGCGATTGCTGACCCATCAGAACAAAGTGACAGATGACCAACTCAACCTGCTGAACAGCGTTGGATTCGATGCATCGATGCAAGCAGCATGGTGGTAGGCTTAGAATTAACTATTTAAAAATAAAAATCCTAAGATCAATGCTTATCTTCGCTTAATAAATCAAAGCAAACCCCGTGATAGCAAAAACATTTGATGGTTACACAAAGTTAGTTTTCACAAGACAACAGCTAGAGCCCGCTAGCACTAACACAGGATTTTAGGCAAATTTCACAACCCCCAGCCTGAAGGGGGACAGTGGGTGCTCTGCCTCCTAACCCCAACGTGCAGGAGGGTATCCAGACACTTTAAATACCCTCCAAAACCTAACAGCGGGTAACAAAACTTATTTGAATTTTAGTAAATTTATCAGCACTTTTCATAGGCAAGTACCCACTGGAGAAAAACCAGAAATGTATATTATTATAATTAAATTGGAAGGTAATACATTTACAGCCAGCTGGGTGACTCCTGTTACCCATTAAGAGCTGGTGAGCAAGCTCCAAGGGATCTTTTCCATATGGCAGTTTGACATATTCCTCGCCTTTATTACCAGCTACAGCTGGGACATTGGACCCAATTTGCACTGATAAAGATGTAAACGGTCAGAGCTCTGGGTGAAAACTGCTTTCAATTTCCTGCACGGAAAAACACGTGCACAAGCAAATTTGAAGAAAATTTCACAGCCTCCTTAGGAAGTCAAACTTTTTGACAGTATAAAAATGCGTTCCTTCTTTCCTTTTCAGTCTTCAGTTGCTGAAC